AAAGGCCCCACTTGTATCTGCCTCCTTGGTAGGATAAGGGCAAGCAAAAGTCTTGTAAATGCATGTGTGATTTAACAAGATTACATTGACCGTAAATACACTTCACCCCTCCAGCCATCGAATAAATATTACTTGTTTACAAGACACATGAGGACTATCAACTAGGCTAATTCAGTCCACACATCGCCACCTCATTCAGAGATTGTTGAGGTTTTTTCATAGAGTTAAAAAGTTTAAACTGAGTGATGATGTAACCGTAGCTATTAAAAATGAATACACAGCAATGTCTGGTGTTTTGCTTATAATAGTGTTTTTGTTTTTTGACAGGATGTTAGAGGACAATATTGATAAAGTTATTGCTGGACGGACAGGAGTTCGCTTCTTCTTCCCTCTCTGTGGGAAAGCTGTAGATATGAAATGGTATGAATAATCACACCATATCCAGTAAGGAAGATCACATTTGGTGGTTACATTTTCAGTTATCATTTCTGTGCCAGTTCCCATTACCTATGATCACAGCATGCTCCTAAATTCCTTCTACTTCCTGTGTGAATACCAGGCTAGCAGACATGGGCCATTCAGTGGTTGGGGTGGAGATATCTGAAAAGGCTATAAAACAGTTCTATGAGGAGAACAACATGACCTACAGCGAGGAGTCTATCCCTGCCATACCTGGAGCAAAGGTTTACAAGGTAGGTGAACTATACATGTGTGTAAACAGTGAGGTATCAACTTGTTTTTCAAATTTTTAGTCATAACATCTGAATGAATGTCATACCTATGCTTAACAAATAATTTCCAAAGATGACTGAAACACATTCAATATATGCAAATGTTTAAGGTGTAACCAATGCATTTTACACATTGTATTTGTTAAACTTTAAAGTTAGACCATTTATGGTTGGCAAATTTCAGCAATTGCTGTTTATGTATTTACATTATGTTTTCACTGCCGGTGGCGGAGTATGCCATTTCCATGCTGAATTCAAATATACACAAGGGATTCACAGGAAACGATGCAGCATGCAATAAACCAGTACCGTTTGTAATTTTATCTCACTGATATCAGCCTCACTGTTTTCTGTTCATCCTACAGCCGTATCAGAGCTGTATTAAGTTACTGCTAATGCAAACCAAAGGACAAGCAATGTATCAAATTACCACAGAGTAGTGCTAATCAATGAGACCCACATGAAAAACATGTTGTATTTGGATACACAGATATGGACAAAATTGTAAATCCACATTATCTTTGTTCCACAGAGCTCAGAGAGAAATATTTCCCTATATCAATGTGACCTGTTCAACTTCTCCAGGCAAGTCAACTAGAAACTGTGTGTGTGTGTGTGTGTGTGTGTGTATGTATATATAATAATCATTTTAAAGATTACCTATACATGTTAAAGTAAACTCTCCTTCGCAGTTCCATTGATGGTCAGTTCGGGGGAATTTGGGACAGGGGATCTCTAGTGGCCATCAATCCAAGAGACAGAGAAAAGTAAGGTTTAAGATTGAACCCTCCACTGAGATTTGATTTTCTTTGTTAACACTCAACATAGCAGATGTTTAATTTTAAAACACAACAAATCATCCAAAAATGAAATTAAAACATTTTAAACTATTTAAATTATTCTAAGTAATTCATATCAGGTGATTTATGAGATACAACACCATTTGGTAATATCTGGGAATAAAACCATACATATGCTCCCTGTTGTCTTACTACATTCTCTCTTACAATACCACAGGTATGCGGCTCTCATAACTTCTCTCATGGCCAAAGACTGCAGATACCTCTTGGACACTTTGTTGTACAATCCTGAATTATACGCAGGTAACTGTCTATATTGGACTTAAAGGTTCAGTGTGTTAGATTTAGTGGCATCTAGCGGTGTCCAGTCTACCACTGCCCTCTACCCTTTCAAAGACTGTAGGATAGCTACGGTGGCTGACACAGCACAAAAGGTGTCGTCTTCTAAAGGTGCTTTCAGACCAAAAGCGAAGCGAGCGTTCGGGGCGGTGAGTTTGCATACAAAGTCAATGCAAAGACGCTTAGAGCTGCAATTTCCTGTTGGGCGGCGCAAAACGACGCGAAGGGGGCGGTGCCGGCAAAGCAAAAGCAACGTTAAGGAATTCGCGTGAGTTGAATATTAGCTGCTAAACTTGGGCTAGAGGAGCAGGGAGCAGCGCTCCAGCTTTTGGACAAATAAACACCAGTGGTCGGACTGGATTATGCTACACCATTTGCTCGCGGTAAACTGCTTTTATTAAATTAGCTTTTTAATTTAGTTTTTGGGATTACAACGTTTATTTATCTTCCCTCGAGCTTCTCAACAGCTAGATTCAGTGCACATCTGGTTCCAGTACTGTTAGCGTCGTTTGGCACTACTTCATATTTATATAAAAACCGGACAAACCTGGACATTGTTGAACTACCTGGTGAGTTCAGAAAACATGTGTATGTAACTTTATTCCAGCTATCGTTGTACTTTACTGTGACCAAGACCATTAAGAAAACAAACATTTTAGAAGTTGTTGTCCTGCTGTCTTGCTGACAGACCTGACGAGGCATGAATTCATATGTTTAACAAAACTGCATCATATTGTAGTTATTTTGGCATCAGTTTGATCCGTTCATTGCTATTTAATCACAGCAAAATGTTTACTTTGGGTTCATATATCTGTATAAATGGCAAGTTGTGTTTATTCGCGTTATCGCGTTGTGTGTGAACACTCCAGGGATGTCCAGCGATAAAACCCCTGCAAGGAAAGTGTTGCATGGATTAAATTCACGCTTGGTCTGAATGCACAGTAAGACAGCAGAGAGTAGCCAGTCAAGAAATTAAGTTCATTTAGTTAGATATATTAAGAAATTATATTTACTTAATTAATTTGTAAAACCATATATTATTGTGACTCGGCCACTGACAGATAACATGGAAAATGGAAGCCAAGAGTGTGAAACATTGTCACGGTTTCTGCACCACAGTCCATTATAAACCAGATGGGTCATTTTTGTAGAGAGTGCCATTTGGACTTCATAACTTGGATAAATAAATAGTTGATTTACCTATATTTTAAAGTTCTATTATATAAAGTATTATATAAAGTAATATAACTTTATGAAAAACATATTGGTTGAGCTCAGGCACCTTTATTGTATTAAATTTAGATATATTAACAACATGTGACACACGGGAAATGTCCACCCTGTTAAGGACTTAGACATAACTGTTTAAAAGTGTTTTCAGGGTATGATTGCTACTAAAATGACAGATGAGGAATCTATAATTTTTCACAAACAGTTTTTGAAATTATTTAATTTGACTGATCTCCTCAAAACTTAGACCTAACAGGGTGAAAACGTTATGTTCAAACACATTAAACTGACTTAATAAAAATGTCAAAATCAGATAGTAAGAGAGCTAGAAAATCACACAGCTAAATGTCACCAGGTCACCTAATGAGTGTGATGTCAGTAAAAAAAAAAGTTTTCCACTTAACGTGACAGTTAATGCAGCTCAACAAGGTGGACGCCGGGGACAAACATAAAACCTTATTTGTCTGTACAAAAGTTAACAATTTCGATAAAAACATTTGATTAAATATAATTTGAACAGGAAAATTAGATAATAATGAAATTTTTAGAAATAAATATGGTTATAGTCGTTATTTTTTTATATCTAAGTTGAATGATCAACACTGGGGACATGGCAAAATCCCATAGTACCTCTTAAACCAAAACTTTTAAAATGTAAACAGAACAACTTAGAACCAAACACCATGTCAAAGATTCAAATATTATGCCTTATATTCTTACCCACCATCTAATGGTTGAAAAAATTGCTCCAATGTAAAACTTATTTGCCGACCCCTGCTGTATATTTCTTCGTCTTCACCTAAACTGCCTGAAATCTACGACGTCCGTGGAAGGGGGGACCCACAGTTATGTAGGTAGAAATGACTCATTCTAAGGTAATAAAAACATAACGATTTATTGTGTAAGGTCTTTATACACCACGGAAAACATAGTTATGAATCTTTTATTGCATTTCTGTTAAGAGATTCTCAGAAATATTACACACTGGACCTTTTAAAATAAAATATCCTGTCTATTTTCATTTATTTGCATTTTAAAATATCTGCAGGGGGGTCAGGGTGTTTGTATAAGTTTTGTGAAATATAAAAGGTATGTGTGATTATTTGTGTTTCAGGTCCTCCCTTTTTAGTGCCTAATGAACAAGTACACGGCCTGTTTGGTGAGTGTTGTTAAGAACAAAATAGCTGAGTTATGGCTGAGTGTCTCTCTGTACTTACTCAACAGCTATGTGATACTGTAGGAAAAGACTAGAATGCCTGTTAGATGTGGACTATGGAGGCTGAGAGTAATTTGTGTTTTTTTTTATGCTGCGTTTCATCCTCAGGGAACAGCTGTGATATCGAACTGCTGCAGTCGGTGGATGCCCTGACAGACAGACAGCGAGCCTGGGGGCTAGACTACCTCACAGAAAATGTACACCTCATTACTCCAAAGAGCATTTAAAAACTAACTTGTACATTTAGAGTACTCAGAAAAGCAGATGTTGGGCATTTTATTGCAAACATAGGTCCAAGGAAATGTATTTTAATGCTTAGACATCTTTTTGATACAGTGGGGGTTCATGGAAATAAAATGTCAAGAGAATCTATGCCTCTAAGAACTGTAATATTTTAAATACCTAACAAAATAAAACTTCTTTTGTAACAAGTTACCTGTGGCTTTATTGAAAACAGTTGGGGAGCTGTTGTTTATTAGGCACAATATTTACAGTTGCAAATAGGGACATTTTATATATCAATCTTACTTTTTTTTAAATAAAACTTAATTGAGAAAACAGAATTTGCAACAGATAAACTAAAAAAATGTTAAGTAAGCAATTTGAGTCATCAAAACAAGACAGCAGTTTATATGGCCTTACAGTTCTGTTTCAGGATATTAACCAATACTAAAAGTGACTTTTTTAATTTAAAAATACACTGGTATGAATATGGTGTAGCCTACTTTTTTGAAAAATCAAAAGCAGTTTAACAATGTACAATATACCATCTTTAAAATCCTTCCTTTCCCTTACTGCAAACAGTACCACGTTTATCTCAAAAGGCTAAAATATTTCTTTGCAGCTGCAGCCCCAAAACAGATTTAACTATAATCTAACTGTAGTTAGACAAAATATTTTATATTAACCCTTCATGAACAAACTGTTACAGTATAAAACTCCAGTAATATACATTTTAAGTCATTGTGGGATCTAGGAGGGTTAGTACTGCATACTAGAAAAAGCACCGTCAACACCAGTCACACATACCGCGGTGTAAAAATCTATTTAACCATGTTTTACTGCTGAGACCCCTGAGATCTCAAGCAGAAGTAGGCTATTGTGTCCATGTAGAGGGTGGGAAAGGTTTCTATGCATCTCTATTAAAATTAGGAAAAGTCATTAAGTATCAAGCTGATAAAACAATGTTAAATATGTGTTTCGAGTGGTTAGAGTACATGGGGGCTCCAGGAACCCAACAGAACCCGACGCTTGTATGTAGATGGGATTTAAATGCGTTAGCTGTTGCCTGGATACGGTGCCTAACATTGGCAAACGGCAACGAGGAAGGAGCAGAGCTAAACCTGCAGAAAGTTTTGTTGACAGAAATGCCGAAATATCCAGAGGAGCAGAGAAACGTGAGTTGCACAGACAAATTTCAAAAAGTTTTCTAAAGTTTTGAAGACGTTATGGGACAAAAAAACGTTGATGCCGTTATGATTTCACCGGTAATGTTGGGCTACTACCGGTGTTTGTGCTGCACAACCCGTTTGTTTGTATGTCCAAGTGTTTTATAAGTAACGTTAATGATAAATGTTTACAATTAATCTTAAAGTAACACATTTAAAAGGTGTAGCTGACATTAAAGGAATACCTTTCAGGTGAGTGTACCGCCTCCTGGCCACTGGGTGTGGAATGATGAAACTCAAACTGTGGAGTTTGTCAGGTGAGAGGGGAGCTGGGCCAAATTACTAGCATACTGCACCTGCTAGCAGTAAAAACACGTCATTAAAGTATATCAAAACAATAACTAAACATCTTCCCTCTTCTCTAGTTGTAGTCCAGCAGATGAGAGTGTTTTGAGGAAAAAGAGGCAAACCAATGAAAATTTCAGCGATCTTCAGCAGCGATCAGAGTGGTAACGTTAGGCCTGGGTCAACGCGCAGCTTTCAAACGTTTAATGATAAATAATATGCAGCCTATCTATTCTCATTATTCCACTGTATTTATTATTATTCTAAAGGCAGAAGAAATGTAGCCACATAATAACCTATTTTTGTAACTGCGCTTGATGTTTTGCTCTTCTACACACAACTAACCTGCACATGTTCATCCTGTTCCCTCAGGTTGGCTGAGATCTACACGTTAAACCATAGAGGGCGCCAAAGCCTTAGAAAGAGCCTGAGCCCCGCTCATCTGAACGCTTACAGGTCCTCAGTTATGAAGAGGGGAGGGGACCGCATTACCATTGATGATGTTAAACGCAAGTGTAACTGTGTTATACTCATAACAATGAGACTGCATGAACTTAAGTCAGCTGCTCCTCTCGGTTTCCTGTAAGAACAGTGGTCACTGCTGAACAGATACGAGTTTGCTATGTGTGAATATCCAGGAATCAGATTTGCATCCAAGTTGCATTTGTGATCACTTGCTCCAATACTTGGGAGTTTGCATTGGAGAAAAAAAAAAAGGCAGATTTTTTAGAGTTGTCTTCCTGGTTTATCCCACTACGCAAACCATTTCCTATTGATTGCTTTTCCAAAATTAAGATTGATCCATTAAGATAGATCTTCATATCAAAACTTTTTGGTAATGGTGATAGCATTCAGCCATAGAATGATATTTTTCCATACCTAATGAGTGCTAGATGACCTTTAACCTTGTTCTGACAAAGCTGTCTTTGTTTTAGAGGTGGCTGTCAGTTTGCTACAGGAGAATTATTCACTTCCCATTCCATTTTGCTTCTTGGCGTTATTGAAGTAAGGAATACAAGGACTTTATTATTAAAGACATACAGTTTCTATTGTTGTACATTGTATTATCATCAAGTCATACACTGATACTAATTGATTGACTGTGTTCAGGAGTAAAGAGCTTGATGAAGTCCTCACTGCCCTTCTCCTGTACCTGTCTTGTTTCTTTGAATACAAGTCTCTGGACAATAAACCTACACCTTTAATGGCGTAAGTATGCTAAGAATGGAACTATACTTTGGGCTCATGTATCTCACAGGCCAGTGATTATTGCCTTTATTTTAATGCTGCTGAATTTATTATGTGTGTTTCTTCCCCTCTCTTTATCCACCAATGTCTATTGACCTCAATTTTTTTTTATATGTTTTCTTCTTCTAATCCCTCTTTCTCTCTTCTCTGCACTGTTTTTCTGCATCTTCACTCCCTTCCTAACCAACCTGCCAGTGTAGACATCATCACAGGGCACCAGATGATGGCGGAGGCTTTGGCCAAAAAGCAGATAGCTCAAAAGAAGCTGGCTATCTGCTACTTCAGCCTAATCATGGACCTGGAGAAAGAACAGCATCAACACACATCATATCACAAGTGAGTATATGTTCAGATTCAGAACAGGTGGCAGACAGAGAAAGTATTATTCCTTTTACTCAGTCATATAGTTACCAGAGTGCATCATTCATCACACCTTTTCAAAAAACATCCTCCTACTGGATTATTTTCTGACATAGTTGATCAGCTGTGGCAATGGTTTCTTGTACACTAGTTGTGCAATTGGATCTCAGAGCTTACTTTAAATGTTGCCCCTTGTTCTCAGGTCTCTCAAAGAAAATTTTTTATGTACTGCTGAAATATAACTATCTGCTTGAAATATAGCCATGCAACTCACAGATTCTGAACCAAAATGTCAGACCTAGTGCTAAAATGAAATCATCATCCACAAATAGAGGTCAACCAATCACCAGTTGCCACAACATACCAAGCTCTTATATGTTTTTGCAGGGGCCGGCTGTCGTCAAACAGAACAGAATGGCTGCTACATGCGGTGGGTGCATTAAAAATCCTACAATGTGCTACACACATACTAATCACCATAATTGCAAATGGACCGCTCCTATTAAAATGTTTTTAAGGTTATTATGAATGTTAGGAACTGGTTAGTGAGCCTAATCGGTCCCCTCGCAAAAATCCCCTCATTTTAAAAAGCTTTGACTTGAAATTTCGTCCCTTGCAAAAACAACATGTTGAAACATTCGAAACTGTATTGCCTCATCTGCACAGAGTGAAGGCCAGTGCACCATCTGCAGAACAGAACGACATTGAGTGTAGGTTATGCCTGGTGGCCTTAATGAATTAGTTAGTGGTAGGAGATGTTGACTCAACACAGGTGCTTTGCTTTGACAGGCTCTCTCCAGTATTTAGCCAGGTGGGTGGACAGGGAGAGAAATATCACGCTCTGTATGTGACCTTTTTGGGACAAAAATAGCTGTTGTGACCTTTTAAAAACACAGATGAATAAGTGGCCGCCTGGGTTTTTAGCCAGAAAGAAGGGGAGTTGAATGTTTATGCAGTGAGTCTCTGAGCAAACGGGATGAATGTTTAACTATGAAATGAATTAAGGAATAAATCGATTTATGTGTAAAGTACCCTCAGGTGACACTCTTTACTCTCCTCCCCCCCCCCCCCACCTTTCTAGTGCTTGTACAGCTTCTTCTGCTATGCGGCCTGGGTGACGTTTGGCAGGAAGGACCTGAGGGACATCCAAGAGGAACTGGGGCGTCTTTTTTACTCTGACACCATTAACACGGCAGTGAGGGACAGGACTGATGGAGACTCAGAAATGACCTTCGCTACTGTTAATGGTTCAGTGAAGACGGGAGAAGCTGACCCCAAGGAGACGGGATATAACGGCACATTCAAGCACAGGTGAGGTAAAGGTTGGGCTGAGGTGGCATGTGATACCATCACTGTCACTGCCTCTTCAGATACTACGTAGTTCACTACAATTTGGTTCATGTCTCTGTGAATTTATCATATACATTTTTGATTGCCCCTACAGGCCAGTTTCAGAGGGTAAGCTACAATATACAGTATAATGGCCCCATGGAGTTAGTAATGTTTCAGAATTCGTCAGCCTTTTGGAGGCAGTCACATTTTGATCAACTTTTTCGAATCTTTGCTTTGTGTCTCATTTATTGTCATTAAAAACTAAATTCACAGACATATTCAGAAAATCAATTTCTGGCCAATTTTGCCTTGAGTTGACTCTGACCAGGCATTAGCCAATAGAAACACTGCTTTCTGTGATTGTGACCCTGCCATACATACAGTACACTATGTGTAGTGCTAGCAGTTTGGTCCTGGACAGGTAGCATACAGAGTTGTTTTTTTTTTTTTTGCTTTTTTTTGCTGAAAACAACTGTCATGTGATCCATTGTTAATATAATAGAAATAATACCTAACCATCAATATGTTTAACCAGTCTGATCCTGATTTGATGTATTATTGAGTAAACAACTTAACAGCTCCAGCAATAAAGTTGTCTGCGTTTGATGGATGTCATGTCAGACCTCTAACTGGAATATGATTGATGTAGACAGATTCACAACTTTGTCCGATAGGAGGGGTCTGTCTGACAGGCTGTTTCATGTTGCGCTGCTGTGTCTGACATGAGATTGGCAGTTGTGTAAGCTGTCAGAGGCCCAGCACTCTTTCCTGCTGTCAGGTTGAGACCAAACAATCAAAAGCTGGGCTTGAAGCTTGCTCACCTCCGGAGGGTGGATGTACACAACATGATTTGGACTAGCTTCAGCACCACATCCAGTTGTCGTGCAAAACATTGTGATTACATTTTTTTAATAACCATCAAACTCTATATGTTTTGTATTTGTTCTTAAAAAGGACTTTGAATTTGACTTCCATAGCATTTCTTGATTATTTAGTTCTGGATATTTGTTTCCACCATAATTACTGTAGGTATGTATGACAAAATGGAATATCTAGGGAATGTCACTTTTCAAAATGCTTATAAAGCTGTCGTCTGTGAGTGAACGAACTGCTATATAGACAGAGCATAGTGTTATATGTATTGAAAAGAAATTTGTACACATTTATTGCTGTCTGTGTTTCCTCCAATATAACTTTTTTTTACATTTGCATGTATATAATAATTTCATATAATTCTTAGGCCCTGCTCCTTGATCCAACTTCTCCCCCCCAGAACGTCCCAAAGGTGTCCTGCCCTCAGCAGTGTAGTTAATCAGCGATCCCCACTGATGGTGTGTCTGCTGCCCTCACCCAAAGAACGGTCACCCCATCTGTTCCTCGGCAGCCGGGCCAGGATGCAGGGCCCGCTGCAGACGGAGCACTGTGACACCAAGGCCCTGACGGAGGAACTCAACCAGCAGCTGGCCAGTGTCAGGTGGTCTAAAACATCATAAGAATATGTGACATATAACACACAGGAAGATGGGAATTGTTTTGATCAGGGTGTGCTGTATCTGTTTCACTACTCCCATACCCCAAATAACAGTTACTGCTTTGTGTATGATGATGTCAGGCAAATAGTCAGGGACATAAAGTGACTTGTGAACTATAGGGGGCAGGAATATTACAAAACAAACTCAGTGTAACACACCACTGATAAACTATTAGCTTATCAAGTGCTCATGGCTAACTTGTTAGTTCTCCATTTAGTCATCCAGCAGACACAGTCACTGGCAGGCATTTTAGTTCTGGTGTGTTCCACCAACTCCTAAGAAACATATCTGGGTTTTTATCTTGCTAAATGCTAGACTTTCTACACCAGCAACTTGCTGGTCAGAACCTGATTGCTAGAAAGGACCACCTGTGGTTTTATTATATATGTGGGGGAAACCTGCCATATTATCTACCATCAATGTGCGGTTGAAAAACCAAAACCATAAGCTTAAATCGCAGAGTGATAGAGCTGCAGAGTGAGATGGTACTTTTCAGTGGGTCAGGTAGTACAGTGACCCTTGATGCATTACAGGGACTCATTTCATTCTGTGATAATGTAAAAATATAGTGAATAGAGTTTGAATTTTAATGTTGCTAATAATAAGTTTAAAGGTTTTTTGTCCTGCATGTTTTGTTTCAACTTCTTAGAAATTGGTAACTAGACATATTACTAACTAGTATGGGGGGTAAAAATGTGATTTCTGTGTGTTAATACCCACTAGATATGAGTAACACAATATGCCCACTGGGGAACATTGTTAATAAAGCGCTCTTTGTCTGGTTCGAATCCAGCTCGGACCAGAGTTGTGGAGCATGGACTGGTAGCTGGAGAGGTGCCAGTTCACCTCCTGGGCACTGCCTGGTGGCTGTTTGTGTTTGTGCATGTGTGTGTCTTTCGGACCTGTGTGTAATAGGAATCTAACCAGATCTTTCATCAACTGAAAGGATAGACCAACACTTCCACATATGTAGAGACCTACATGTCAGAAATCAAACAAAAATGAATCTAATTTAACCCACCCTCTCTCTCTCTTAATTTTTTTTATTAAATCAGGTTTGGGATTCTTGGCAAGCCATTGAGACAGTTCAGCCGCAGTACCCTGATACCCTATGGAGAACCGAAAAACAACAATGCTAAGGATGACTACTACGAACCAGGGAGTGATGTTAATAACAACAGTGAGGATCATCCTGGCATCCATGTTCCAGGTAGCCGTTCGTCCTTAATGGGTCCCAAGTCGACAGGCTTTGCAAGAGATGGCAGCACCAAAAACACTAGACCAGGGATCGGCAAATAAATCTAACATCGGCCCACATTTCTTTCAAACCGTTACATGGTTGGCAGGAACATTATTTCAGTCAAATTATTTCAAACCCTTTAGTAGGCTACTTATGTGAACAATTAGCTCAGTGGGTAGAGTGCAGGACTTCCGATGGAGGAGATGTATGATCGATCTCAGGGCTGGACCGGTAATCTGGCATACTGGGCACTTTGGGGCCGGTGTAACGTAAATCATTTATTTATATTAGTGTTTTTTTAAAAACGGGCCAACGATCGGCCCATAAAGCATGGACAGTGACCCATTGGGTAATTTTCTATCCTGACATTGGACTGGCCCAATCACATCTCTTACTAGCCCCACCCCCTCTGCTCTCTGTTTCTCGCGTTGCGGGCCAAAATATTTTTCAGACGGCTGGCGCCAAATGCGCGAAAGCAAACCGAAAATAACCGATATGTTTGCTGCTGGGGCTGCAGTACCCTGCGTAGCGCAAGCAATCACCTGAAGGAGTAAAAGAGCTGTGGTGGCCACTGCCAGGCCGAGGGGGAGGCGTGTGTTAGCGAAACAGAGGGACAAAGTGATAGGGCGGAGGGAGAGAGAGAGCAAGAGGAGAGTGGCGGTGAAGCGGTAAGCATGGAGTAGGTCAACCTATCGGGAGGGAGCTGGGAGGGAGGGTCATTTACACTGGGGACGCTGGGGACATATAGCCACCACGTTTTAAAAGCATTTGTTAAAAACGTTCTGAAAAATGGCTTGCACCAAGAAATGTTGATTAACAAATAAAAATGCTATGAGAAAGGTTTATTTGCACAATAAGAAAACCTGCAATGCAATAGAAGAAACCTCTGTGTGGTCCAAAAAAAGTAAATTAAGCAAACAATAATAAGCTATTGATTACTGCATTATATTTTATTATATTTTTATATTGTGAATTGTCACCTGCCACCTGAATTTTGTACTTCCCTATATAAAAACTTTTCCACCATTAATTGGTGCAGAAAATGTCTCCAGAATGCAGAAGTGTTTAATGCTGAAAATCTTTTCCGACCCACCTATCTAGACCCCCCTATCAAATATTTAATTTATAAATATTTTTCAAAATAGTAGGCCTATTAAATATATATTCCCGTCTTGTAGTCATGGAGAACAATCTTGTGCAAATGTTACATCTCAGTGTTTCATCACACCCCTAATCTGAACCCCTAAATGGATCGATGATGTATTTTTGAGAGGTGACCGATTTTGGGGGACCGCCTCCGCCAAAAATGCCAGGGCCTATTTTTTTGCCCCAGCCCTGATCGATCCCAAAATCCGGCGGACTGTTTTTCCTCCCTTGTTAAACAAATTGATTAGCCTATAAGGACACTTTTTCACATGCTCACAATAAAGCATGTGCTGCAGTGCACGTGTATCCTGGCGTTTGATTCGCATTCATAAACCTATGGACACCAATCTTTATTTCCCTGAAGAAATTCAGGGGAATCCAATCACACCTTTACTGGCGGCTTTTACAGAGGTGTGTCAAGTAAGCCAGAGACTCTTTCGAATGTCCTTCAGAACTTTTCAAAGTAAAAGCTCTCAATAAACTCAACATGAAGCATTGCTGCAAAAAACATTCTCGTGATTTTATTTTGGAGGCACAATATCGTAAGAGGAAGTGACAATGTGAGTAACTGTTGCTGTCATGACTGAGATCTATTTCAGCATCAGCCACCAGGGGCGTTTCCAGGCTCTTGAAACATTGGGGGCTTAGCCCAGCCCAGAAATCTTTCATGTTTTCACCTATTTTAAGCCCAACCCCCCCTCCCCCCCAGCCAAAGTACAACAGTAATGACATCTACACAGTAACTCTATCAACTGTCTCATTTTCTGTCGCTACCTTGTTGTGCCATTTGTTAAACAGAACTTTGTACCTACTTTACCTATAAATCATTGAGCTACATCTTAATTATAAAATATTATTGGGCGATAGGCGGGGTACACCCTGGCCAGTGATATAAATACATTTATTATGATTTTTATAATTACTACTGATATAATTAACACTGCTAATATTAATTAGTGGGGCCAGGGGTTCCTCCCCCTGAAAAAAAAATCTGTTTTTCATTAATTGAGGAAATGTCTTTATTTATATAAAAATAAAAATATATAGTGTAATATAATGCAGTAAGGCCCTCAGGCATTCTGTATTGCTGTCAGATATGTTTCTCCTGTATATCAACTTTTCTCATTAAATTGAATCCCTGCTGAGTCTACATACATGCAGGAATGTCTGAAGTAGCCTAAAGTCTTTTTAAATGTGCATGTGGCACCTTTTAGCTTTATTAATTGGAATTCAGTTCAAACTCTTGGATTTTTATAGTGACTGTGTTTCAGCAGGTTTTCTGCTCATGCTCAAAACTTTCTGCACATTCAGAATCTCTTCTCTGACATTTGCAGAATAATATTTTGAGACAAAAGTTTTAATATTAAGACAAATAAAATCATTATCTGATGAGAATGAATTCATAATATTAACTAAATCTACATGCCCCTCTTCTCTGCATTACCCTGCGTTATTGCTTTGCTGATATGGTAGTATGTTACTCCCTTTAGACCATCTGACAGACAAGAGCCCGTCTGGGACTGTACTGGATGAGACGATCGAATTGCTCTTCATCAGAGGTAGAAAACTGAAACTGAAAACACTTGTGATCAGGCATATGACCACAAATCCACACAAATGTTAATGGTAATGGTAACAGCAGCTCTGATAAAGTGCAGTTCACAGCCGCTTCAGAGGGAATTAAGTATCCTGGAGCAGAGAGACAGTCAAACAGAGCAAAGTGTCTCAGAGCGAGGAGGACAGAGAAAGCAAAAGTCTGTGTCGCGGTCAGGTGTGTCATGTTATTCTCTTGCTACTTTGTGGCAACTGTTAACCATTTGTGTAGCAAGTACATTGATTAGACGCTGACTGACAACATTTAGCCTATATTTACATGTTTTGATTACAGTTTTGCTAGGCACAACTCCGTAGTTACTGACATGGCTGAGTAACGGTGGGGGGGCCATGTTATGTGATTTTAAACAAATTGTAGCAATATTATTGCGAGTAGCCTCCGTTTTCTGAAGACCTGCGAGACAGGCTGCTTCATAAAGATTATTGCATATTAATATGGAAAACATTTTTGATGTTGTTGAGTTACAATCGGGGCTACAGTCAAAACATTCGGAGCTAAAGCCCTGGAAAAATGACCTGGCGACGCCCCGTCTGCCGCTATCAATTTATCAAAGCAGTCTGGCCATGGGCCAGATATTATTGCTGGCGGGCCAGTTCTGGCCCACGGGCCGCCTATTGCCGGACACTGCACTAGACACTCTGCAGGCAATGACCTCAGACACTGAATGACTTGCATGTGTATGTATGACAGTGAGTGGGCATTTTTATTGGCATAACACAGACATTGCATGACCAAAAATGCATTCCTCAGTCAAGCCTACAAAGTCAAAAACAGAGAGGAAAGACTCATAACAGATTTTCCCTCGGTAGCACTTTATAATAACTACACACTATAAAGCATTAGTTAAGTATTAGTAAATACAGAATTCATAATTTATAAAGCATTATTCATACATTAATAATTACATAACTGCCTGTTTTTTGTGTAATTTCCCGAGGAAGAATATAAACAATCTCAGCATAACTTGTAAATCTACTAGTGGCAAAACTCAAAGGATGCTACTAAGACAACCCGAAAGATGCCCCAGCTACGTTACTGGGTAAAAGCCTCACCGTTACAGGCCTGGTACCGTTTCTCTGAACTCCTCGTCAGAACTCCAAGACCTGCGCTTCCAGAGATCTGCTGTGATGGGACCAGCAAAGGGTTGCTTGGATGTTCCCCAGTGCCTAGAAATGGTCTAACAGTGCACGTGTTCAACACTTATTTATACTGCAATTCATGATAATTCAGGTAGTTGCAAAGCATTTACTAATTATTAGCTAGGTACTTTGTGTGAGCTCATCTAAAGTGAGGACTGTCTATGCCTCATTAAGCATTTACAAATGAAATTTAAAGGCAATCGATATTCTCTAAACATTTGTTTAGAGAATATCGTATTAGTATTCTAGTATAAAGTATTTCATGATTAATTTGGGTAGTTACAAAGCATTTACTAGTTGTTAGTAAGTACGTTCTGTGAGCTCATCTAAAGTGAGGACTATCTATGCCTCATTAAGCATTTACAAATTATATTGTAACACAAGTACCACTTATCTTCTGAACAGAAAAAGGAAACGGACACAACACAAAGTGATACAGAACGTATTCTTTATTACAAAATGCCTTACAGCCATTCGTTCATAAAAAAACACATCTTTCTTATCTGCTAGTGTCCTGTAATCTGATGTGTCAGTCCTGTTGAATGGTTTCCAAAGCAGCTGGCCACACCATGGACCGCGCATCATCTCTGGGACTGGCTTGCCATCTGCATCCAGCTAAGAGTTGACCTCTAAGCTAACGTTACAATCCAGGCTCTCAAAAACCAGTCTGCACATAAAGGACAGAATAAATCAGATAAATCATCACAGTCAATGCTCTGCGATAAAGATCTCAAAACTCAATATCATCACCGTGTTGTCCAGGGATTCTTCTTAAGTTTTACATTTTTATACCAAAGATTTATCTCTTTATCAGGAAGCATTTAAGCAAGACATCACTACTATAAATTGATTAAATTTCTCCATCTCTCAGCATTACATTTCATTAAATTACAACCAAAAAATACTGAACAGCGTTTACACATTTTAGGTAAAGAAATTACTACTTTACCTAAAAACTGTTTTATCGTAAATACTGAAATTAAAATACCTCCTAAGGTACTACATGTGCTTACACATCCAAAAAGTAACTTACCTCCAGAGAATAGTTTGAAAACAAGTCACAACAAAATACTGTCGAACCGTTCACAACATCTTATTCACAACATCCTCCGACTGCTTTGAACCTAATATTACAGTATAACGTTATGGTTTTAACCCACCCATTTAAGCTATCATCACGCTACACTTTTAGCTCTCTCCTAAAGGTTACAAACGTTACTCACCGGAGTTTCCAGGAATAAAAACATGTCCTTCGGCATATGACGGCATTCAGAAATCCCAAGTGATGGTGTTTTTACACTTAAGACCCGCTTCTGGGCCCGTGTGATCTTGTTTTTCCAACTGCGTCTTAGCCCGCTTCTCTTCCTCGGTGCCATCTGGCGCTAAAGTGAGCGCACACTGCAGAGAGATTGCTGGATGCACTGAGGGTCAAAATAGCGAAGGCCATATTTATATGTGGGCTACAGTCTATAATAAGGAAACATGGTTGAGATGGGCGGCTTGACCAGAAACCGGACCTACACTTGTTCACTGTGACAAAAAGTCAATATCGATTTTTTTCCGTTTCCAAACGGGTTTTACTAGTTTTATTTTGAAAGTCTAACCGGACGTTGCGCATCCATTATCGCTAACTTGACCGGACGTTGCATATTTATTGTTGCTAACTTGACCGCCGTTAAAAAGCTGAGACTTAAAAAGCCTAACTGAAACTTTTTTTCAATTTAATGCTTTGTTTGGCTTAGATAGTCCTTACATTAGAGGGAAAATACTTATTAACACATTCACTATTACTAGGCCTACATGTCTAAATCATATAGCCTATAAGCGCATGCAAGTAGGTACATCTAAATAGTTCATTAATCATTTCCTTAAACTTTCTATTCATAAATGGTCGCATATATATGTAGGATATATATGTTTTTTCAATGGAATAATACTTTTTTATAAAGTATAAAATACAATCACATCATTGATGAACTGCTGGTTATAGATGATCTGTCTCAAGGATACAGTACCAGGCCTGTAACGGTGAGGCTTTTACCCAGTAACGTAGCTGGGGCATCTTTCGGGTTGTCTTAGTAGCATCCTTTGAGTTTTGCCACTAGTAGATTTACAAGTTATGCTGAGATTGTTTATATTCTTCCTCGGGAAATTACACAAAAAACAGGCAGTTATGTAATTATTCTTACACTTTCCAAATGATCTTATGAACTATTAACAACTGGTTTGTAATTAAAATAAAACTTCATTTATAAATAGTGAAACGATCATATATAAAGTATGGCCATACAATTATTAAGCACATATAGATGAGCTTATTAATAAAGAATACAACATGTATAAATAATGTTGTATAAATATGTTTATAAATGACTTACTAATGTGTATTAACGTAAGAACAATGGCTTATAAATGATGAATTAAAAATCTACTAATACTTAACAACTGCTTAATAGTGTGTAGAATAAAACATTTATAACTGTGTTTATGAATGACTTACTAATGTGTATTAATGTATGAACAATGCTTTATAAATGATGAATTCTGTATTTACTAATACTTAACTAATGCTTTATAGTGTCTAGTTATTATAAAGTGCTACCCATTCTTCTTTGCTCATGTGTGGCTCATTTTCTAAAGGATCTCCCAGGACTGTCATCACACACACCATGTTTGTTGGGATTTGCTTCTGAATTTAAATCACTGTTTTATTTACCAGCTGGTGGGGCTGTTGAATAAAATATAATGACATCCATGACAATTTTGAAGGTCTGCGCTTTCTATATGAAAATGAAGAAAGTCCAGCACATGGCATGCATAATTTACATTAGATAATATGTATTTAGGAAATTGAATTATACAATGGTCACACACAGTGTGAAGACTGATCAGATTTTTAGATCATTGTATGCTTCCCTTTAGACCACTGGGTCATTCCGTGTCCTTGTGATGCCTCACAACAGGCTAACAATAACATGAACTAGTGCCACATTGTCACATGCACACTCTCACACACCAGTCTCTAGACAGGATTGGTAGCAGAAGGGGCTTTGCCTTTGCCCTAATTGGCTGCGTAATCTGGGACACCAGGAGTAGAGTTAAGCCCTCTGAGGAGAAGGAGGAGGCCTGGGAAGCTTGTGCATTAAGATGGGGGATGGGTCTCAAGATATATTTTAAATTAGTTTCAAAAATTTGAAGTGGTCTTGGTTTAAATTTGCACTGTTCAACACCCAAAACGATTAAGTCAAGCAC